GGTGGGGTGGTGGGATGGGGAGTTGGAGCGACTGCGGTGGGTGGAGGAGGGGGCCGTGCGGTGAAAGCCGGGAACCTGAGGTCCTACCGCAGTGGAGGCTTCTGAGGAGCGCCCTCGTGCGCTCCTTGCCCCGCCCCTCTGAAGCTGGAGGTCTTCTGATGCGCGGACCCCTACTCGATCCTTTCCGAGCCCAGGTCTCCATCCTCTTCCTCTCTGGCCCTCGCTTCCTCTGAGTTAAAGTCTTGGATTTGAGACTTGGCTCTTCTGAGACGTCTGTACGTTTGTCACAGCCGCCTCAGCCGTGTGATTCCGTCACGTCCACAGTCTCCCCGTTCAAAACAAAACGAAAACATTGTGGAATCAGTTTAAAATAAATTGCAAGCCTAAATCTTGTGACATTTGGGTACGGTTGGTTTTAATTGCAGATGACCTGGTTAAGAGTGGGAAAGCAAAAGTGTGGAACGTGTGTTTTGGCGTGAAAAGCCTCTTAGGTTGCCAACCCTTCCTGATTAATAGTGTCCAGTCTAAACTACAATGAAATAAATCTCAAAATGAACACTCTGAAGTAGGGAAGATACTGCTCCTGCAATGTCTGGCTAAAAACTGACAATATACCGCTTCCTGGTGCTTTTTGGTGTATCATTGTGGGCTCGTTACAGCCAGCAGCCATATTGAAGAATAACAGAAGTGGAGTTTTTACTCCAAGTCGAGGCTGTGGTGTGAAAAGTGCGGAAGAAGTTCGTAGACATCGAGAATTAGGTTTGGAAGAGAGAAAGGTTTGGGAGGTGACTGCAAATTAATGGACAAAAGGGAAGTTGGGAGTATATATAACTGTAGAAGCCAGAGTGTTGACTACTGAAATACTGCTTTTAGATACTATTACTGGAATCGTCTTAATTAAAAAGAGTGTACATATGAAAGCTGAGAACAGTAGTGAAGAGGATAGTAGGAACTGAGCAAAATTCTTGTGAGTCCTACTAGTTTGTTGGGAAGTAATCTAAGATTTGAGTGGCAACCTTGTTCTGTGTACTGACTGGGTAGTTATCCAGCTTATCCCACGATTACCCATGTTATGATCCAATCATCATCCTAGTCCATTCTGTTCCTAGTTTTCACCTCCTGCTTAGGCTTCCAGAACTGCCTTCAAGAGTAGATGTTTATTTATGCGGGTTTTGAGCTCTTTTGCAAAGCTGGGAAACCTGCACAATAATTCACATTTGTGATTAAACCTAAAGCAGGCACTTAAAAATTATTCCCAATTTACTTATATTGATATGGCTGACTAAAGGTATAGGGAAAAAATGAAAAGATGACTCATTGATTTCTATGTTCATATGCTCAACCTTTTGGAGAGTGGGAGAGCATGCATGTAGTGTACAATATCCTCTGATAAAATAAATCAGAGTAACTTAATACCCAAAAGCTCATTTTGTTTTGTGATTCCTGTGGTCAAAGTAATGGTAACTGCAGCATGAAATCCTAAAGAGTGAGTGTGTTATGTTACAGGAGAGTGCTTTGTTCCCCCTTCTTCTCTTTGCAGTGGAATGCAGTAGCCCTCTGGGCCTGGGATATTGTGGTTGATAACTGTGCCATCTGCAGGAACCACATTATGGATCTTTGTAAGTAATTGGAGGAGGATGGGAGGAAGTTGAGAAGGTTACAGAGATTGTGGCTATCCTGATGTGACCAGTTTTCTTCACAAGGAGATACAAAGCATAGAGGGCTTGGGGATCTCTTGCATCTTGTCTGTTACGTGTTTGAAATAGAGTAGTTTTTTTGTTTGTTTGTTGTTTTTTATGATGTCCAGAAGGCATACCCAGCTTTCAAAATAAATTGCTCCATCCAAAGGGTGGCAAGGACACATTTAGAATGAATTGTAGACATAGGCGCTGTTGATTCTTCCTTCGTCTTCCATCTTATACCCAGACTCAAAGGCAGAAATAGTGAAAAGAAGAAAATTAACCTTGAGCTATGAAATTCTATTGAGTTAGTTTGCTGGGCAAGATTTGTAAAGAGGAGAAGCCTAAGGAATAAAGATTTCCGATATTAACTCCAAATAGGAAAAAGAGCATCTTTGCTGACACCTCCATAGCTAATTAATTGCACCAGCAATTTCATTTACAGCTTCACATATTTCATTACACACAGTGGTCAACACATAGAGGATCTGACTATACCTGCTGAAGGACTTGACTTTTATTCTTGTAGTACTAGGGGCAAGAATTTTTTTTTTTTTTTTTTTTTTTGAGAGGTTTTCGCTATAGGGCACGTGCGCTCGCCAGACAGACAGAGAGAGACATAGAGACGGAAAGTGAGAAATCACCCCCCAGGGGGGATGGTCACGCCGCAATCCCTTCTCCTCCATTCTCCTCTCGGGATCTTGGGCACGCACACACACGTGCCCGGCGTGAGATTTAAGCCACCGGGTCCGAGACGTGAACCGCGGTCGGCTACGTGGGAGTCCAGCGACATAGCCATTACACTAACTGCTGGTTCCCAAGGGGCAAGAATTTTGATCACACCAGGAGCAGTTGTGGTTACTTTTTCATCTAGGTACCAAAATAGTTTGTTAATGAGATGAGATCAGAAATAGGGCAAAGAAACCTCAAGTTTCTAGAGTTGAAGTTTTAGGCACTTATTTTTTAGTCATCTACATTTTCAGATTTGTCTTGAGCCATTCTCCTGTTTACTGTGGTGGTTTCTCTGTGCCCATGCCTTTTTTCTTTTTTGCCCTAGAAGGTATTCGTGGTTGCCACAGAAGTAGGTAGAGGAAGAAGGCAACCCCAAGTAAGGAGTTGTTACACCCCATTTCCTTTTCCATTTCGCCATCCTATTGGAATTTTGGGCATTCATGCACAAGTGACCAGTATATTTTTCAAGCCACTGGTCTGGGGTTTGAGCTGTGCAGCAAACCATGTTGGATCCAGTTCCCTTAATCACTAGGCCACAGGGCTGGCCTGCCCGTTCTCCTTTTTTGTTTTTTTTTTGAGAGGTTTTTGCTATAGGGCATGTGTGCTCGCCAGAGACACAGAAAGCAAGAAGTCACACACACCCCCCATGGGGGATGGCCATGCCTCAATCCCTTCTTCTCCATTCTCTTCTCTGAATCTTGGGCACGTATGCACAAGCGCCTGCCGTGAGTTTAAGCCACCGGGTCCGGGATTCGAACTGTGGTCGGCTACATTGGAGTCCAGTGACATAGCCATTACACTAATTGCTGGTCCTCCGTGCTCTTTTTTAGAGGCCTTACATGTCATACTCACTTTGTCTAGAATATTTCCTTTCTTTCCTCTTCTCTACTTTAGTCTGACCCAGCAATGTCTGATCTAATGTAAGTTACAAAGCAGAGCACATGTATGATTTAAAATTTTGCTAGTGCCGGCATTAAGAAAGAAACAGGTGGGTGCTGGCAGGTGGCGTAGTGGTTAAGGTGCTGGACTCCCACCTGGCCAAACTGCAATTTGAGTCCCAGACCTGGTAGCTTGCTTGCTCACTTTCTCTTTCTCTCACTTTTGGCCTCTCTGGTCAAATAAAAACAATAATAATGATAAGTAAAATTAAATAAACAATTCTTTTTAAAAAAGAATTATTTAATTTTAGCCATTTATTCATTTATTTTAATTTGACCAGAGAGAGATACAAAGAGAGAGAGAGAGGGAAAGTGACAAAGAGAGAGAGAGAGGGAAAGTGAAAAAACAAGCCACCAGGTCCATGACTCGAACCATAGTCAGCTATGTGGGAATGTCCAATGCCTCAACTACCATGCCACCTGCTGGTCCCTAAATAAATGATTCTTAATACAAAAAAAGAAACAGGTGAAATTAATATTTTATTTAACCTACTGTATCCAAAATACAGTCATCTGTCAGTTTCTGAAAGAGCCCCCAGCAGATACTAAAATCCATGGGTGGTCAAGTTCTTTATATAAAATAGTAGAGGGTTTGAATGTAACTTGTACCTGTCTTCTTTTTTTTTTTTCCCTGTCTTCTTATATAATTTTTTTTTGAGAGGTTTTTTCAATAGGGTGCATGCGCTCACCAGACAGAGAGAGACAGAGAGATAGAAAGCAAGAAATCCCCCCCCAGGGGGGATGGCCATGCCGCAATCCCTTCTCCTCCATTCTCCTCTCGGAATCTTGAGCACGCACACATATGCGCCCGGTGTGAGTTTAAGCCACCAGGTCCGGGACTCAAACCACGGTCGACTATGTGGGAGTCCAGCAACATAGCCATTACGCTAACTGCTGGTCCCTCTTCTTATATAATTTAAAATCATCTTTAGATCACTTATAATGCTTAATACAATGAAAGTGTTATTTAAATGGTTGTTAGACTATACTTCTTAAAATTTGTATTATTTGTTATTGTTGTATTATTTTTCTCTTTTGGAAATATTTTTGATCCATGGTTGGTTGAATCTGTAGATAAAGAAGGCTGGCTATATTTTCAACATATAAACTATTTCTAAAAGAAAAAGATTTTATATCCTCTTATTTGTACTAAGTCTTCAAAGTTCAGTGTGTATTTTATATAGCACATTTCAACTCAGATTAGCCACATTTCAACTCAATATTCACATGTGAGTCCTGGCTCTTTTGTTTTTATTGTTGGTTTTTTTTTTTTTTTTTAATTTGCTACAGGTCACATGTGCTCACTAGAGAGTGAAAGTGAGAAAGCAAGCCACCAGGTCTGGCACTTGAACCACAGTCAGCCATTTGGGAGACCAGCACCTTAACCACCACACCACCTGCTGGTCCCCCGGGCTGTTTTCCCCTGACCATACTTCTAAACTTATATAAACACAGGTTATGGCAGTTACCTTTTTTTTTTTTCACCCAAGAATTATTTTATTTAATTTTTTTACTTAATTTGATTTGACCAGAGAGGGATAGAGTGAGAGAGAGAGAAAAAGAAAGTGAGAAAGCAAGTGGTCAGGTCTGGGACTCAAACCACAGTCAGAGATGTGGGAGTCTAGGACCCTTAACTACCACGCCACCTGCCAGCCTCTAGAGTGATGTTTTCTATAGGCTGCATGTGCTTGCTGGAGAGAGAGAGAGGGAGTGAGCAAGAAGTCAACCCCTGGGGTGGGGGAGATGGCCATGCCACAATCCCTTCTCCATTCTTCTGGGATTTGGGGCATGCACACATGCCTAGCATGAGTATCAAGCCTCCACGTCTGGGACTCAAACTGTGGTCAGCTGTGTAGGATATAACCATGTCCAGTGACACAGCCATTACACCATATGCTGGTCCCATGTAGTTCTATTAAATATTCTCAAGACATCATTTAATTTAGTTGGTTCTCCCTCATGTCCGTTTTATTTACTATTGGATACCAAGCATCTAGCATAGTGTCTGTATGTAGTAAGTAGCCACTAAACATTTGCTGAATTAATAATAAAAACACAGAAAATAGCGGAACAAAACACAGAAGTCTGTGGTCATAAAGATGAAGATGGCATGAATTAAATGTTTTGTGTTGGAGAGCAATCGTGGCAAGTGCTGATAGGTTATTGTCCTTGGCTTTGAGCTTTGAGGCTGTTTACCTGTTTGAACTGTGGTCAAAGCAGATCAGCTGCTACCATGACGTTTACGGTACATGGAAGAATCCATCACAGAAAAACACATGTACAGTTTTAAATGTGTTTGGGTGGAGTCTTTGATTACACTCCTGCCAAGTCTTTGTGTGCCCTGTGTTTTCACACGAAGTTGTACCCAGAGAAAATTTTCTTTCTCAGGCTGCCTGAAAATAGTTAATGATGTTACATAACTGATTTTTTTTTCTCCCCTCTATATTTAATTCATTGTTTCTCTGGATGCAAGAGAATGTACATCTTGGGAGAATCACAAAAGACAAAAGCCATCTTAGGCTTCTTCTTTTACAGTTGGATGTTTGAGAGATCAGTAGACTTTCAGATAGACACCTGTTTTATCTGTAATGTATTGTACTTTATTTATATTTATTTTTAAAGAGAGATTTTTGCTATAGGGCACGTGCACTTGCCAGAGACAGAGAGACGGAAAGTGAGAAATCACCCCCCCACCACACACACACACACCGAGGGTAAGGCCCTGCCACAATCTCTTCTCCTTCATTCTCCTCTGGGGATTTTGGGCACAAATGCACATGTGCCCATTGTGAATTTTAAGCCACCAGGTCCAGGACTTGAACTTTGGTCAACTATGTAGGGGTCCAGCGATATAACTGCTTTGTCATCTGCTGGTCCCATAATGTTTTTTGTTTTTGTTTTTAAGAATTATTTTATTTAACATTCTTTATTTCTTCATTTTTTAATTCGACCAGAGAAGGACAGTGAGAAAGAGAGAGAGAGAGAAAGTGAGAAAGTAAGCCGGCAGGTCCGGGACTCAAACCACAGTCAGTCCTATGGGATTCCAGTGCTCTTAGCCACCACACCACCTGCTGGCCCCTCTGTAATGTATTTTAAATGTCAGATGTAGTAGAGTGTTGAACTCCTGTTTTTAAAATTACTAATTTTTTTTCTACATTTTTTTTTTTTTTTTTTTTTTTTTGGTTTTTTTTTTTTTTTTTTAGGTTTTCGTCATAGGCCTATGTGCTTGCCAGAGAGACAGAGACAGAGAGAGGGAAAGTGAAAAATCAC